TTTTTTTTTTTTTTTTTTTTTTTTTAATGTGTTGCTTTCTTTTTCTGTTTTCCCGTAGACAATTAATCAATGTGTCCACATTCACTTTCACACACCTATGTTTGAGCTGTGCCAGGCAAGAGATTTCCTGGTCCTATCTTGCTGTTTGTTATTTTCTGATTTATTGTTACTATTATATTTTATTGTTATATTTGCATTCTATTTGGTGTTCTTGGATTTTGAATTTGTGGTTTGTGGTAGAAGTAGGTAGGAGGCGCCCTACACTTTAATGACCCAACATGTCTCTGTGTTTGCTTCTCTCTTTAAATCCATTCATTCATTCAATTTAAAAGCCCTTTATTGCAATGACATTATGTTTAATGCCATTGCAATAAAGTGCTTTTAAATTGAATGAAAAAATGAATGAATGAATTTAAATAGAGAGAAGCAAACACAGAACCATGTTGGGTCATTAAAGTGTAGGGCACCTCCAACCTGTCAAACACAAGCAGTTCAGGCACTGAGGTTGTCAATGTTGATATTTGCATTTTCAGACAGTGTGTGTTAGAGTTGTAGTCTGGCAATATCTACTTCACAGACTAAAGTCCCTCAACAGATCCTCCACTATTTATCTATGTATTTATTTATTCTATATATGCATAGCTTTTTATTGTAGCCCCATGTGTTTCATTGTATTCAGTGACATAAATGTGAGTGCCACACCACATGTTTGCATTTGCCTTGTTGGTTGTGACATTTTTAGATATTCAAAGTCTAACCTTTCTGTGGGTTTGAGTAAAGGAAATGTGTGGCAGGTCTTTCCGTGTGTGTGTGTGTGTGTGTGTGTGTGTGTGTGTGTGTGTGTGTGTGTGTGTGCTTATATAAAGTAGCATTCTAAACCAGACAAACAGTTATGAAACGCTTTCATTTAAAATCTGTTCAACAAAGAGCATCAATGACCTACATGTGCATTTCTGCTCTGACAGCATGACCCTGATCTGTTTTGTACCCTGCTCATGATACTTCATGTCTAGTTGCTAACATTCATAGTCAATTTATATTGCATAGTAATTATTTAAAGCCACTTCTTTATTATTATATCACAGTTCAGAGTTTATGTGGAGTAACATTACCCAGAGACTTCAGCGTTACCATGTGCCCTCTATTATTTACCTATGTTTTATTTTATTTTATTTATTTATTTTATGAATTCATGTTCTGATGTCATCTCTTATTTGGCATGTTGTGTTGCAGTGGGGGAAGGCAAGAACATGATTCCAATGGACCCGAATGGATTGTCTGATCCATATGTAAAACTCAAGTTGATTCCAGACCCTAAAAATGAGACAAAACAGAAAACGAAAACTATCCGTTCTTCCCTGAATCCGGCTTGGAACGAGTCATTTACATTGTGAGTTGCAACATTTTATTACATCCTAATATTTAGGATTAATGTGTCATTGATGTTAGTTTTACTGTGCATAAACATTGTATTATGTATTAATGTTTTACCCAAAATGGTATCACTTGCTCTATAAAATCTACTCTTCCATACAGGTTTACTGTAGCATCAGTTTTAATATATGGCTTTATATGCTTTAGATCATGGTTTTTCAACTGATGGCACAAACATTTTATATAACCCTGATTAATTTTGATGAAATCACTGTGCTACCTGATAAATCAGAACCAGATTCATTCGAAGGAGGACAGGGCAATTCACAGCATAATAAGACATGCATATGAGACCCCCCCCCCCCCCCCCAAAAAAAAAATTTTTATAACAAACCTTCAAAATAAAAACTATTTATATCTTCCTAGAAATCAGACATCAGCTAAAAATGAAGAACATACAGATTAGTGCAAAAGATTTTCAAAGATGTCACATGGCTGTTTGTTGGTATAGTGGAGTGAACCTTTCTATAGAGTGACTTCCTTAGAGTAGGTCTATGTTCAAATCGATATAAGGTCTTAAGTTCAAATCAATTAATGTATAATAGGTGTGGGGGCACATTTAATTCTATGATATGATCTGTACTATATGGTGCTATTATAATCCACCCCCATCCCTACCTTCTAGTAGGTAAAGAATTGTTTTTAATGGGCTGAATGCTGATGCCATTTCTATAGTGTGGAAGCAGCCAAAGTGATAGGTGACAAAGAAAAGCACAGGAACCAGCACTGTTTAGGTGCACACATTCAATCACATCTTATCCATTCAAACATATTTATGCAAATAACTTGACTGTGAAAAGATCGTCTGAAACACAGCAATTGATACAGTGATGATACGTCTGCAAAGGTGGATGATGATATCGTAAATAAAAATGAAATATTTAAAGGTACACTATGTAACTTTTGGTGCTCTAGCGGTTAATAAATAAAACTGCATGCTTCTTGCAAAAGAACATTGTAGCCGGAGCTACTTCTCTCTGTTTATGGATATGAAGGTCATGCAGGTACTAGGCTTCTCCAGCAGGGATTGTCCAGACAGTTCTAAAATAGTCTGAATATAAACACTTATTATAGGCTCTCCAGTCGCCATAGTGATTCCGGATAAGAAAAAAAAACAGTTTGGATTCTTGACGTACTCGCTCATTAAAT